TTTAATAAATTGTTGGTAAATTGTATTTGATTTCATGATTTTTATTAATTTGACAAGCTTTTTGATTACTCAACTTTGTTAACCATTAAAGCAGAGAATTTTAAAATGGAAAAAAAAATTAATAATCTGAAAATGTTTATTTCACAGGGCCCTATAAAGAGGGACATATCATGCCATATTTGGCTGCTTCTGTTTTGAACAGCTTAATTTATGATTGTTTTAACTGTGAACTTTTGTTGTGTCATGACGCGGTTCACTTCCAGTGTAGACGCGGTGTCAGACAGCAATTGTGTTTCTGGGGTTTTTTTCTGTTAGAGTATGTTGATATTTCCCTGTGTTGGTGTGTGGAGCTGCCATTGTTCTCTGTTGGATACGTGCTTAAATGAATGTATTGTTAATATTGTTATGGATAGAGTGTACAGCAGTAACTATCTTGTTCTTATTCATGCTTACTTACTGAACCACAAAAGATCACATTTTCCATTTTAACGGTCTCCTCTTATCGTCTCCCTCAAGGCTTATTCCATAGGGTGTTTTTTTTCCTCCCTCTGAATGTCAAATGAAATATGGATGAACAGGGCTCAGAGGGGCCCCAGAGCAAAGTTTGTGTGTGTTCATGAAAATAAATTCAGTTCTCTTTCTCTTCCTTTTGAGTTTAAACGGACACGCCTGTCTTGGCAAGTATCCTGATTCCTTACACAGTCGGTTGTAAACAATTGAAAAAGAAAACTGATGCGTATCATTGTATTGGATTCGTGCATTCGTCTTAAAGTAACAGCAGCCTAAAATTCCCGCATCTGTTTGTCACACCAATGCTAATCAAACCACAAAAGAGACAGAGAAATTCCCTTTTGTAGCTTTAACAAAGATCAATTGTATTAATGAATTATATTTAATTATATTTAGGGTTTTTTCCAATCGATTTGTTCTTTTGTATGTATCTATGCTTGTTTTGTTTATTATTTTCCATGTAGATGCTCACTCCTACGAAATCACCCCAATTATTCTAGAATGATTAATTCTTTACAAATAGAGCTATTCAAATCATCCGGTGAAATTTTCATATCGCATTGTCAGTTTTTTACATTATCATGTAGCCCTTAGTTGACACTATAATAACATTAATATTGTGCAAAGTGTTCTGGCATTTGCTGAAATTGCTTCACACATTTGCCACAGCAGGTTTGTGCAAATAAAGTTTTACACAGGTTTAACACACACTCTATGAGTGGGAATCTTTTGGAATTAGATGGAGTTAGAAAAAGTAATACGTGCAGTTGCATATCAATATTTAGTGATTCAGCCTCCGATACAGGATGTTCACTTGCTTTTACAAGCAGTCATTGGTCATCATTGCGCATCCACGTTGAACGTGCTTCTTGGGTGTTAAAAGTACCTGTATATAAGAGTTATTTTGATACAGGAACTGTTGTCAAGCAAGCTTCATTTATAAAGTTTCCCCGTTGCAAGTCTGTCCACTTTCTAAACTGTCCGGATGCCGCTCTGCTCTCGTTCCGACAGCATCACGTAATTAACAAACATTTAGAAAAACGATTTTTGAATCGGTAGATGGAATCGTGATTCATATTGTATGCAGACGTACAGACACACACTTAAGCAAAAGCTATAGGGAAATGAAAGATTAAAGGTGGGGTATGTGATTTGGAAAACAACCGGCAGATTTTGAAAATATACAACTCAAATGGTCCTACCTTCTTTCCTCCAACGCCGGCTCTGACTCCACCCATTCGAAGAACATGGACGCGCAATTATGCACGAGCGAAAACTCAGATGCGCAAGAGATTGTAATGACGATTTACTACTAATCATGGAACCGGCTTTACTGACAAGATGCGCATGCGTCACAAACCTTGAGTATGCGCACGACGGGGGTCACGCGCGCTGGGGGGAGGGGGGTGTGGTACAACCGTTTGATTGACGGACTTACTGTCCAATGATTCTGGTGGTCTTGGAAATGATTGGCTGGAGTTTTTCGAGTCCTGCCCGTTCCACAGATGATTAAATTGCTTAATTTTCATTTCAGTGCTTCTAAAGCCCCGTTCACACTACAAGCGACTTTGTCGCTGCATGTCGCCAGTGGCTGGCGATGAGGTCGCTAGTGGGAGTTCCCACTACTGGTTGCCTTTATGAATGACATCCAATGATGTGGGGAAGGATCATATGCGCTCCGCTCCTATTGGTTGTCGCTCCCGAAAGTCGCTCCTCATTTGCATAAAGTTAAACAGATCTCAACTTTGTCGCGTCGCTAGACACGCCCCATCTAGTCGCCAACGGTCGCTGTCGCGCGTGTCGCCGGAAGTCGCCCGCTCACCATTGAAATGAATGGTATCGCGTTGCGTGTAGTGTGAACGGGGCTTAACTCAGTGGCTGTAAGTGGGTTAGGAATAGGATTTCAAGTTATTTTGAAAAAATTTACAAAAAAGAGAATCACATACCCCACCTTTAATGAACATGTTTTATGGGACACATGGAGAGGGAACGCATGTAAGTGAAGGTGGGGAAATCTGAGAAGTTCAACCACTTGAACTCATTCCTTCAGGCTCGGAGTGTCTCTGTTGCACTGTTTCCCCGGCAGGTTGAAACAAGACAGCGACACCTCCCACGCTCTTTCTCATCCTTATCTATCCCTCGCTCCATTCCGCCTTTCATTCAGCCTCCTCCGTGCTTCTGAGCGTCTCTCCACGAGCTTCTTCAACAACCCTCCCAGATCTCGCACATTAATCACTCCCGTCACACCATCACGCTCAACCCCACATTCCCTCGCGAGAGACACACGTGAAGGTGATTTGTGTTGCAGTGGTTACAAACATCCACAATCTTTACCGTCAGTCGAGCATGACATTACTGAGTTCATTGTCAGTCATGAAACCACTGTACATTTGTTTTTTATCTGCAGTTTTTACTGGCGCTCAGCCGTCCACAGACAAGGTTATATTTCTCTGCAGAAAGGTCAGCATATTCATTCACCTGTCACTTAATCCCACAAATCCTCCCCACTCCTTGCGTTTATTAAATATTTTTAGCACATTGGATTAGGCTGTCAGCTAGCTACTAATACTAGCATTGTTCTCTTAGTGCCCCTTTTTTACAATGTTTCAAACCAAAACTGCAGAAGGTTTCAGAGCAGAAAATGCTAAAAGGTTGCAGATTGCTCGTTTTCTGTGCTGATTTCGTAAAATTGCCTCTCAAAATCGAGTTAAACATGGTAAAGTCAGTGGTGGAAATGGCTGGGATTCACTGGGGGGACCCTATAGTTGGAGACATTTTGTATTTTTAAACCATAGATGCAGAGAATTTTATTTTATGTATGCGCCGTGACATTTGCATAGCGTTTGGGGGCTATTATGGAAATTATTTTGAACTAGAACTCCATCTCTTGAAATTCCATCTGAAATCATTCTAATATGCTGATTTGCTGCTCAAAAAACATATAATAATCATAAACTGATAATAATAGTATGCTGAATACAGTTGCACTGCTTAATATTTTTGTGGAAACTGTGGTGATACTTTTTTCAGAATTCTTTGATGAACCGAAAGTTCAAAAGAGAAGCATTTCTTTGAAATGGATTTGTAAATATACGTGGCTAGGGATATGTAGAATTCCATGTGTTTGCGGTTTGACTCCTGCGGTGCTCTGTGGGCGAAGGTTTCGTGTAGGCCTGTTTATGAAGCCGTTATGAAGCATTTTTCTTTCTGTGGAGTCATTCTCTGTCTTGTTACCATGGTAACATCATGAAAACAATAGCTATAGAGCTATATGCTGAGCATTGAGTATTTATTTTCTGTGGAAATAAATGATTCGCTTTCACAATTAGGCTACTAGTCTGGCGAGACAGTGTTTGGGTTATTTCTTTGATATCGATGGGTTAAACCGTTTAAGCGCGTCACATTTTTGCATGTTTGTGACATGCCAGAACGAATGGCTTCAGTCTATAGACTGAGGAAGCTTGTTCTCCTTAATATGCAGTAAATGTGTTGCTGGCTTCAGCCATGTGATGGTTTGAAAGCTTATTTTCATGTGCGCGAGGGAAAGAAAGCTTGACGTCCTGCTTTGCATCTGGCTCGTCCCATCGTGACATGTGGTGGGTGGCGTCTGGTGTCTGTATTAGTGTCCTGAACAATCCTCTCTAATGACCCGACACTGACCTCTCTGAAACTTCAGCCCCAGCCCATTTCCTCAAACACACGCAGCTGCTGTTGTTTCTATCCTCTTTACCGCATGTACAGCACCACCTAGTGCATTTCTCATTGATGTACAGTTTGTCACATACAAAGCGTTTCTTTAACTTTATTGCCAATTTCACCCTCTAAATGACTAGTTTAATTTGTTCACATCACAGACAATGTCCTACAAGGTTTATACATGCATTACAGGTCTTTTTAACGAATGTTATTTCCACCACATCTCAAATCACCATTCATTTAGTGGTGAAATTAACATTTTAAAAATGTCACAAATAAAACGGCTGACTCCTGTGTCTTGCTATGTCTGATTTCATTACTAGAATTGTTGACACTGTATTATAAGGTGATGGTTTATAAACCAGTGTTGGTTGTTGTGAAAATGACGTCACAAATTAATATAATAATTTTTACACAATAAACATCAAATTAGTTTAGATTTTTTTTAAATTCTTGACTTTGTTTAGAGGGTCAAAGTTTTAAATGTGTAATAATTAATTGATTCAATTCTTTGCAGTTAATAGATTTTCATTTTGGGGGATGACACTTGAAAAATAACCAGAAAATAAGCAAAGTCATGGTCAAAAGTTTTCAAAATAGTTTTGTGACCTTAAAATGAATGTTAACCTATGTAAAAGTCAACCCCTTACTGTATTTAAAAAAAAAAAAAAAAACGACAGTATTTGCTGCTTAACCCTCCTCTAGTCGGGAGATAAAACATGTTCTTGTTGGTATTGGTAACGTGACTTCTCTTTCTCTCTCTCTCTCTTTCCTTTTCTTTATCCTTCTTACAGCAGGTTTGGCTCAGCAGAGGATTTCGAGTGAATCCAGCCGATCGAGTGCAGGGGAGGACACGGCAGAGCCATCACGATGTGCATTTGACAAATACCCGGTAATTGAATTCTGTCTTTGTTTGTGTGCTGTTCCAGTAGCACACTATATAAACTGTTGTTTTGCAACCTTTTGGCAAATGAAAGCATTTGTGCTGCTGTTATGGCTGTGTTTGTGTGTGAAGGGTGAATTAGAGCTGTGCTTAGGATTAGTCTGCAGTTTGGCAGTGCCGTAAAGTCGAACAAACTCTCGGCAACACCTGTTACTTACAGAACCCTAAATCACAAACACACACATACTAATGGCTTCGTAGCACCTGTTCACTCTCAGAGACAAACACACATACACATTGTCGGTCCCATTACGGTCTGAACACCTGCTTATTTTGTTTCACATGTCGTGTAGCCAAATGGTGACTGCGGTGTTTTGATAGTGAGGCCAGCAGTTGTAGTGTTTATCAACGTCTCTGAGCACTTGTTCTTTGGAAGCGGTGTACGGTTACATCGCTTCACAAGAACATTAGATTAACAACACGCACAACCGCACAAGGCTAATGTGTGTGTGTGTTTCAGAGATGAGGTCTCTTTAGTAGTTCATCTTTAATCATTCCACAGTGTGACATAAATCAACAGCTTTGGTTATTAGAACATAAATTGATTTTGATGAAAAAAAAGCAGCAAAAATAGGCTTACAGTTAGGGCTGGTTTGAAAATATAGATTATGCCATTTTAAAGGCTCCTAATTTTGTTTTGAAGGTAAGGTCTGCTACAACAGGTTTACATGCATCAAAGGTCAAACAACACTTTCTTTTTCTCATAATATACATTGCTCATCACCACATTTTTCAAAGATTCTCAAACGACTCGTCCGAAGATTCAGTCTCTCTAAATCCTCTTTTCCGTGTGCTACTCTGCTCTGATTGGTGAGATGGCCCAGTGTGTTATGATTAGTGGTGCACGATATATCGGCCGCCGATATAAAATCGGCCGATATGGTACGTTTTTTACACATCGGTATCGTTCCGATGTCAAAATAGGGCCGATGTGAACAGGCCGATAATCATTCCTGTGTATTTGACGTACGTGTAGATGTGAGTGTGGGGGCGGGGATGTTTGGTTTTGCACAAGCGCATACATTACGAGCACAAGTCCTGTCAGTTTAAACATCAAGCGCAAGAAGACTGGAACTTGCGCGCTGTTTTATGTCAGCCTTACTAAGGTGTATTTTTGTCCCACCAAAGCCTTATTTGACCGGTGAGTGATGTAGATGACTGACTGCTGCGCTTTTTTAACTGAGAGAACGAGCAGAGAGTGAAAGCCCCGGTCCACTCTCACCGTCTTCAAACTGTCTTGCTCTCTCTCCCTCCCTCGCGCATATTAATGAATTGAGTTGACTGAATATCGCTGAGAATACACGATGGTAAAAGGTCGGAAGACCGAAGTTTTTTTTTTCTGAACTACCACTGGTTGTGAATTGTGCTCAAATAACGTTGCCTTATCTTCTCTGAAAAGCTTTCCACACATTCAGATGACATAAACCACACTTTCAATAAACAAAACAAAAAAATCTATCTAGTGATTAAATGTGATTAAATCTTGTGCGATGTCCTAAACTGCCGGGATAATCACACAACGTGTGCCGTGGTCCGTTAATGACACGTCCGATTCGCGAACTAATGACTCCTTTGAACCGATTCACTTTAATGAATGGTTAAAACAACTGATCTGTCCAACACTGAACTCAAGAGACATAAATCGGAAACACTTTACAATAAGGTTCCATTTATTAAAGTCTAGTTAACTACATTAGTTAACATTCTATTAATATTAGTTTCTATGTGGATTTACTCCATGACAAAACCACCCCAGTCATTCTAGAATGATTCATTCTTTCCAAATAGAGCTATTCAAGTCATCCGGTGAAATTGTTTTTATATCGCAATATATATCGATATCGACAGCGGTAAATATCGGTATCGGCCATAACAGCACTATTAATATCGGTTATCGGTATCTATCGGCCACAATTTTCACATCGGTGCATCACTAGGTATGATTGATCTACCACTTACAGTCCTAACGGAAACGAAACGCACATTACCATAACTGAACTTCAGCTCCGGAGGCTTCCTCAGTCCTCAGAGATTGTACACACTGTAAAGACCATAACGGTGGCGTCAATTTTACCATATTAATACGAGCACGAATTCGAGTGTGTTGGAGGTCTGCATCCCACGATCAGTCCACACGATCATTCAGCTCATGCCTCATCACAAAGGTTCAAACTAAACTGACATTTACAAAGTCCAAGCCAGTGCCAGAGCAGTTCAAACAAGAGACCACAGAAAAATGAATTCGACCATATGATACTGTGTCTGGAAAAGGTTTCAATCAGCTAGCCCAACATTTGGTCAACACAGTGGCAAAAACAGGAAAATTCGATGTCAGTGAGATACTACCACACCCAACAGCAGTATCAAGACATGTTGAGACGAGGGATCAGTGTAGAAACGTTGGCTAAATCACTGCAATAATATTCAAGTTCAAATGCGCAATTACAGCAGACATATGGACAGAAACCTATCGCAAAACATCCTTTTTGTCGGCAACTATTCATTACATCAATGACCGATCTGAGCTACATTCAAGAGTGCTTTTTGCTCAAGAGTACCGCAAAGACAGGGGAAAACATTCAAAGGTACCTGTGGGAGAATCCCAGAGTATTTGGCATTGATGCAACAGAAATGGGCAGAACGTTTTTGTCAAAGATCTTGGAGCCAACAAGGTTCCTTATGAGGATACACAAGACTAAATTGCTCAGCACACATACAAAACGTGACCCTGTCCAGTGTGTTTGCTCCTGCCATGATGGAAATGTCACCATTGCTAGGCTCGTTACTGGTGTTAAAAGTTCCTGTACATTCAATACAGCAGGGCAAGCTGAAAAAGTCACTGAAACAATCCGTTGAGACTTGGGTTGGGGACCGTTCACATTTTTACCGGTACCTGAAATTCGGTGCTGGTGCCCAACGGTACCTTTTTTAACTGTAAAGAAACTAAGTAATTTATAGAAGTGTTATTGACATTATGCCAGAGCTGCCTTGGTCGCTGTCTGCCATTGTCTGTGATGCTTGAATATTAATAAAAACATCCATTTTAGTAATTAAAAAAAAATTCTATGAAATGTTTTGTTTTTCCACAAATTCTGTGTTGTGAATTTTCTAGTAATCAAATGAAGATATAAAACAATTTAATTGATCTTTTATATGAAATTAAACTTTTGTGTCAATCAACATGCGGCACAACTGAGCTTTATACTGTTAAAATGTCACTACAATCACAAAGTGTAATTATTCCTTAAAATATACGTTTTTGAAAACCCAACCCTAGTTGAGACTCAGTGGAACTTTTGTCATGCTGAATCCTGTTTTGGAACAGTATGAAGACGTTGCATCTGTGCTGGCTGAGAGCAATAATTATGACAGGATTGGACGCATCAGCACCAACACACGTTTCAATCCTTAAACCCTTTACTGAGGCAACTGACGCTACAACAAAGCTCCAAGTGCCTCACTGGTTCTTCCGTGGTCCGTGAGTTAAATCGAACGCTGTACGTCAGCCACAAAGGACCCTCTGCTCTCTGAAATCTCAACCGTCTGTGTGACACGGCTGAAGGAATTACTTGCAACAGGGAACATTCTATCCACATGCCTTATCGAATAGCAACCTTTCTGACTCGAAATCTGCAAGGTTTGAAAATGATGGATGGAAGAGGGCGACAAGAGGTGATGCATGGAGTCAAGAAAATGGTTTAAAGTTTGATACACATGGTGAGGATGCGGAGCCGACACCCGCCCATTTTAATTTTCAGAGTGAGAGGACGATACCAAAGAATCACATGGATCAAAATCGTTAGATATCCAGTTTCAGGAGTATAGGACCCTGAAACTTGAACTATCAAGTGAACAAGACGTTCTGCAATGTTGTCGTTCACATAGGTTCCCAATTCCCTGCCCTGAGTAACCTGGCAAGATACAGTGGGGCCAAAAAGTATTTAGTCAGCCACTGATTGTGCAAGTTCTCCTACTTAGAATGATGAGAGAGGTCTGTAATTTTCATCATAGGTACACTTCAACTTTGAGAGACAAAATGAGAAAAAAAATCCAGGAAATTACATTGTAGGATTTTTAAAGAATTTATTTGTAAATTATGGTGGAAAATAAGTATTTGGTCACCCACAAACCAGCAAGATTTCTGGCTCTCACAGACCTGTAACTTCTTCTTTAAGAAGCTCTTTTGTCCTCCACTCGTTACCTGTATTAATGGCACCTGTTTGAACCTGTTATTTGTATAAAAGACACCTGTCCACAGCCTCAAACAGTCACACTCCAAACTCAACCATGGCCAAGACCAAAGAGCTGTCGAAGGACACCAGGAAGAAAATTGTAGACCTGCACTAGGCTGGGAAGAGTGAATCTACAATAGGCAAGCAGCTTGGTGTGAAAAAATCAACTGTGGGAGCAATTGTAAGAAAATGGAAGACATAAAAGACCATTGATAATCTCCCTCGATCTGGGGCTCCACGCAAGATCTCATCCCGTGGAGTCAAAATAATCATGAGAACGGTGAGCAAAAATCCCAGAACTACACGGAGGGACCTGATGAATGACCTGCAGAGAGCTGGGACCAAAGTAACAAAGTCTACCGTAAGTAACACACTACGCCGAGAGGGACTCAAATCCTGCAGTGCCAGGCGTGTCCCCCTGCTTAAGCCAGTACATGTCCAGGCCCGTCTGAAGTTTGCTAGAGAGCATATGGATGATCCAGAAGAGGATTGGGAGAATATCATGTGGTCAGATGAAACCAAAATAGAACTTCTTGGTAAAAACTCAACTCGTCGTGTTTGGAGGAAGAAGAATGCAGAGTTGCATCCCAAGAACACCATACCTACTGTGAAGCATGGGGGAGGAAACCTCATGCTTTGGGGCTGTTTTTCTGCAAAGGGGACAGGAAAACTGATCCGTGTTAAGGGAAGAATGAACGGGGCCATGTATCGTGAGATTTTAAGCCAAAACCTCCTTCCATCAGTGAGAGCCTTGAAGATGAAACGTGGCTGGGTCTTCCAGCATGACAATGATCCCAAACACACCGCCCGGGCAACGAAGGAGTGGCTTCGTAAAAAGCATTTCAAGGTCCTAGAGTGGCCTAGCCAGTCTCCAGACCTCAACCCCATAGAAAATTTGTGGAGGGAGTTGAAAGTCCGTGTTGCCCAGCGACAGCCCCAAAACATCACCGCTCTAGAGGAGATCTGCATGGAGGAATGGGCCAAAATACCAGCTACAGTGTGTGCAAACCTGGTGAAGACTTACAGGAAACGTTTGACCTCTGTCATTGCCAACAAAGGTTATGTTACAAAGTATTGAGTTGAACTTTTGTTATTGACCAAATACTTATTTTCTATGAAGGACTAAAAATGACATAAGGAAAAATAAATAAATAAAAGTAGAAATAAATAAATAAATGCAGAAATATAGTAAAAAATAAATCCATTTTGGTAATATAAATGGCTATTTCTGTATTTTTACATGTATTTATTTATGCATTTCTATATGTATATGTATTTCTACATTTATTTCTACATTTATGTATTTATATATTTATTTATATATTTATTTCTACATTTATTTATTTCTGTATTTCCACATTTCTACATTTATTTATTTCTGTATTTCCACATTTCTACATTTATTTTTCCCTCCGCCTGTATGCTAATTGAGTGGGGGGTGCCAACATCAGTCTGAAGCAGGATTGGTTAGAGAGATGTGATCGAATCTACTACTACTGCCTTGATTTCACTGGTACAAGGAAGCCTACTCGCCTCGGTGCTTGGGTTAATAGAAGCTGTTAATAGAACAAACAGGATGAGAGACTGAGGACAGAGATAATTAACCCTTTCTACATGTTTACCTTACACACAGGTGTACTGATAATTATAAAGTATTGTCTTTTTACTCGCGAAGGTTTTATTGTACATAAGGAGCGTAGCTGTCGGCAAATTGAGTAGTTTGGAGCTAACTTAACGTCCCCGTCTCCACAGCGACGAAGCGGCGTCTGCGTCTCTGCAGGGCGCTGTGTGCGCGACAGAATGGAGGGGAAGCTGCAGCCTGATAATAAACAGTCCCGAGCCCGTTTAATACCGCGTTTCGGTGCCATCATTAGAAACAGTAGCAGTATACGATAAGCTCGGACCTTATTGATTTTAGAGAAAGTTTGGGTCCTTTCAGAACCGGGTCTCGATCCCCATGACCCCATCCTTAATAAAAAACTATACTGAGTAACAAAAGAACGATGGTCTAAGCTACACATCATTAGTTGACAGTGTATGGTTTAATTTTTCTAACATTATATTCAATGCACAAATTCTTCAGTGTGGGTGCATTAAAGTCTGAAATTAAGCAAAATGTTCTTGGATCCGCTGATGGATGTCACCATAGATTAAGAAGATGTCAATCAGTAGAACAGGTGTTGTGCCTAATTTCGACCCCCTGCCAAATTATTACCCCGCTCGTTGAAGTCAGTACCTGATTGCCTAATCCCAACCCCGCCCGGCAGTGCATGATGAACCGGTCCAAAGCAAAGCATCAGGCTCACAAAAAACTGTAAAACTAGGCAATGCTGATCAAATATGAATCAAGATTCTGTTGCTGGATTGTCTATTTCTCGCTTTAAATCTTTTCAGAAATATATTTCAGTGTAGGTTACTGTTGAAAACTGACGATCCACAGTTAAGCACCGCCCGACACATTACCATAGATGGTATTACACACTAGCCGCAGCATTCATAGGTAGCCTGCGTCCAGAGATGGATAGATGGATCGTTTGCTTCTGTCTGGTTAGCGATGCGGCCCCCAGCTAACCAATCCTGCTTCAAACTGATGTTGGCACCCCCCACTCAATTAGCATTCAGGCGCAGGGAAACATAAATGTGGAAATACAGAAATAAATAAATGTAGAAATGTGGAAATACAGAAATAAATAAATGTGGAAATACATAAATAAATAAATGTAGAAATGTGGAAATACATAAATAAATAAATGGACAAATAAATATATAAATAAATACATAAATGTATAAATAAATGTATAAATACATAAATAAATACACATAGAAATGCATAAATAAATAAATAAATAAATAAATACATGTAAAAATACAGAAATAGCCATTTATATTACCAAAATGTATTTATTTTTTACTATATTTCTGCATTTATTTATTTATTTATACTTTTATTTATTTTTCCTTATGTCATTTTTAGTCCTTCATAATTTTCCACCATAATTTACAAATAAATTCTTTAAAAATCCTACAATGTGATTTCCTGGATTTTTTTCTTCTCATTTTGTCTCATAGTTGAAGTGTACCTATGATGAAAATTACAGACCTCTCTCATCATTCTGAGTAGGAGAACTTGCACAATCAGTGGCTGACTAAATACTTTTTGGCCCCACTGTATGTTCTTTGCATTCCTGGCCACCTTCAGAGAGAGCATTCAGCCTTCGTTGCCGGATTTTGGAGGAGAGATGCTCAAACTAGGGATGCACGATATATCGGCCACCATATTGATATCGGGCGATATATTATCATTTTAATGTTATCGTTATCGGCCCGATAAGAAAATGTGGCCAATATATTAAAGCCAATAAATAATGGATTATTTCCTTCAGCTGAGACACTTCAGAAGCGCACTGTTCTCCATGATGGTTTTTAATTGCTTGAAATATAATTGGAATCCCTTCAAAAAAGGAAAATACAGTTAAGTGCAACATGTGCAGCGCAAGTCTGTCATATAGGCTATATAAAATTATAATGAGAACATTATAATTGTGTGCTTGGGACATGGCTTTTAATGGTAAGACTTTTGTTTTTGTAATCAGGCTCTCAAAAATTAAATAAAAATTTGGATTAGATTTATCGACCAATATATCGGTTATCAGCTTTTAAATATAAAGAATTATCGGTTATCGGTATCGGCCAAAATGTTCATATCGGTGCATCACTGGTTCAAACATCATCACTGCTCTTCCCACGGGACACTGTGTTAACCATCTGGGGTCTGAGGTGTTTTTTGGGCCCTGCTTTTACTGTATTTTTAATCAAATAAATAAAAATAAAAAAATAATAAAAACACCAGCCTTGGTGGACAAGATTTCTTTCAAAAACAATCAAAAAATCTTACTTGCCCCACTTTTTTTTTATTGTAGTGTAAATGGTATTTTAATGAAATGAATACAATTACTGCATACATTAATATAAAATTGTTAATATAATGCATAAATAATCATAAAGTCAGTATCATAAAAACACTTAACTGTCTTATATTGTATTGTTGTATGTAATTGGAACCAATTTCTGCTGCAAAACCACAATCCTGTAGAAAATGCTGCCAAGGAGAAAGTATAGATCCCTTCCAAAAAGATAATTTAGGAGGAAAAAGAGCATTTTCCAGAAGTACATTACTGCCTGCCCTGTCCCAGTTGTTACAAAAACAACTGTTGGATGAATGTGCTGCTGATGAATGAGAAACATTATGTTTGGTGATAATGAAAAACTATATTTCAACAGAATCTTATCCAAGCACTGAAGTGAGAATATTATAGTTTTGGGTAGGTTTATGGAGCCTGTGGATCTGAGCGGCTTTTTATGCAATATATTATGCTTATACCTGCAGTTTTATGCATCGTTAAGTCACAATCCAGGCCTTAACTTACATGTACATTAATGTGTGTGTTTGTGTGTGCAGGGGGCCATACAGGCGTGCTGATGAGGATGACGATGGTGAGTGAGCTCTTGCCGTAGTGTCTGATGGTTTGGTAATAATGGACGTCCCCAATGGCCAGCCCAGCGTCTCCACCTTCACGACCCCGGCCTCAGAGGTCAGCTCACACTCAATGAAACACATACCATTACCTGCTTTACCTTGCATGTTTTAAAATGTAATCTAATGAGAGAACTTTTTTTGGCTCATTTGTATATCTTTCATCATCTCTCTTTCCCTTATCCCTCCAGAGGAGCAGCAGTTCTGAGTCCCTCAGTGAGAAGGGCCCATCAGAGCTCAAGAGCTTTGACGCGGTGGTCTTCGACGTGCTGAAGGTCACGCCAGAGGAATATGCAGTGAGTCAAACTCGCCTCACTTTTCATTCTCCCAGATTACACCTAGTATTAAAAAAAAATTTTTATATTTTTTTTTTATATGAAGATTTACATGACCTTCTGACCTAAAGTATGATTCACGTAAACCTGAGGTAAAAAAGTGAGCTTGAGCCAAGATTATTCCCAACTTTGTAACAGAATCATTTCTAAATGGTGTCAACAAAAGAGTAGCCTCCCTGCGGTTTTCTGCCAAAATAAAAGCTCTTTAATTTAACGTTTGAAAGCAAAGAAATTAAGATCGCCATAAATAATTAGTTAATTTACTGTTGTTCTGTAAACTAAACTTATTATTATTATATACTTTTTTTTTATTTTCAAGACAATAGCATTATTGCAATAGGAATATATTAATTGTTGATTTTTATTTTTTATTATTTAAAGGGACACTATGCAGCTTTTTTCGCTTAACTGAACAGCTTCAGAGTTATTGAAATGGTTATATAACTTCTTTCGGGTTGAATGGTGGGCGTCTCGACCCCCCCTGGTGCCTGTGAGCGAAAAAATCTCACTTGCAACTTCGGTGCGGCGGGCCGCGTCAGGAAGTATCGCGTGATATCAGCTCTCGCGATGTAACATATTCCTTTACGGCAACTGCAAACATACACACAGGAACAAGGTATAGATGGATGGAGTTTGTCACACTATCGTCATGGCTGAGCCGGCATATAAGATGCAGAAAGCTAGGAAAGCATTGTCGGAGGAACAGAGAAAGAGGAAACGGCAGACTGACCGAGCGAGGAGTCGGACACGAGCATAGGCATAATTTGCGGGTGTGTTATGTCCCTATTGAAACTTCTCGCGGCACGGATGTAACGTTACCATTACAAACAAATAAAACATCTCCAGGTAACTGTAGTAGAGCATTCATTTCGTTCGTTTGTTAAATAAGAGGCGATCTGAAATGTGTTACTTTTGAAATCAAGTGACCAAAGTGCTCGTTGCCTCTGCGATCAGTGGTGCACATAAGTGTTCTGTTGTGACGCGCGCCTGAATCCGTTGCGGGGACTGAGATACTCTCTATATTTTGTTATGGTGAAATCACAAAATCTAATGCACAAAAAACATGTCCCTGCTTGAAATACAACCACTAATAAACAATCGGTTTTGATGAGGAAAATAAACTATACTACTACCGATTAGAACCCAGAACCTCTGACACACTTGGCAAAAGTTCTGCCTCTGGACCATTAAAATGGTCGGATCTATGTATTTAATCACGTGAAAATTCTCACCACTAACAACATATATTATATCTCATTAAACGACAAATTAAACACAATGTACTATTGTATACTATGTAACAGGCCATGTCACGCTCTGAGTGAGTGGTATTTACGACAGTAACGTTAAATTCAAGTACTCCACAGTAACTCTAGGGGTCGCTGTTTGACAAAAACAGGATTTCTGCATAATGCCCCTTTAAATAAGTATAAAAATATTATTTTAAATAATAATAATTTGTTTATTATTATATTGTAATATTGAATGGGGGAAACAACAGGTTTGATTTAATGTTTTAATCAACTAGCCTGGTTAAAATTAAAATTGTACCCAAAAGTGGAAGGAAAAAAAAACGAATTTGAAATGACATGGAGGGTAAATAATGATTTTTAATTTTAACTTTTTTGATAGTGAATTAGATTTTTTTTTTTGGTGAACATCCTCGGGCTGTCCAATCACAAGTGGGCAGTGCTAAATGCGATTTTTGATCCAATCACTCAGTTTATCCCAGACAAAAATGTTCCCCTGTGATTTGTAGCAGTGGTCCCGGTACCAGATGTAAACAGAGCCAAAGGATCACAAGAAAAACACATGGAAACCAGAAAGAGATGAAGGGGAGAAGGAGATATGAGCACTGACAGAGGAACTGACTTCAGCACAGTTTCAGTAATGATTAATGGTCATTTGGCAGACATTCTTGCGGGCCACAATGCTCTCTAGAGTTTGAATTAAACACCAGAATCCGAGCGAGGCTATCAAACTCTCCTCTCTCTGGTAATTCAAGGACTCAAACTAAACTCCCAGCTGATCTCTTTCAAAATCTTGAGGAAAAGATACACAGCCACTTGTTGACTTATACTTGCTCTAATACTGCAACGATCTGTTTTGTATTTCTCCATGAAGTCCATTTACAATGTTTCTCAAAGCTTCTTCAACCACAAACACTTATAATTAAGTTTTTCATGATCATTACCACCTTCTTTATGACTTAAATTTAAGACTTTAAGAATGAAATCAAACTGACTGTTTTTGCTACTGTACCTTTAAGACTTCTATATGTAAATGGTCTCTGTTATGATTGGCTAATCGCTTAACGTGACAAAAGGCGTAGTTTAATACAGGTCAAAGTACTGAATAGGGCTGTATATCACTGATGTGATTCAATTTTGACTCGCAAGCTTTCGATTCAGTTCGATTTTGATTCGATTTGAGAGGTCGATGGGCAGGAAAACATAACACAAGGGGGTTGCCTGGAGAAAGTTGCACACTACACAATTTATTTTAAAAGAGAGGCAATCATTTTCACAGAATTTAGAGCACAACAATCCATCTTGGAAAACCAATAAGTTACAGAAAGGTGTGCGCTTGGCTCTCATGATCTGCAACTCATTCTGGCGCCATCTGCTGGATGGGAGGTGCACTAAAAAATAATGTTGAAATTTCCCTAAAAAAATCCCCAATATCAGATTTATCAAATTAAGATAAAATCAATACCTAACCTATTGCTGACCTGCTACCGCAGGCAAAAGATTCTAGGTTCTAGTCAGATGTCCAAAACAAGCAAAGCTTATGTTAACGGTGGAAACAGTGTCATAATTCCTGTGATGTATATCTCATAGTGTCACCAGGGGACGCTCTGTGTTTTTGAGCCGTAGTACACCTGATGTAAATGCGATGACCTGATTCTGCACACGCCTGCCTGAATCTGGGGTACAGAGTTTCTTTCTGTGCTTTATTTATTGATGGCCCAGCCCATTAGCCTATATACAGGACATCATCCCAGTCTCAGTCTCAAGACTGCACTGAAGACACTGTGTGTTTTATTTATGCACACATACTCTCCACGGTGATCCCACACGCATGACATTCATACAAGCATGATAAATGTCTTGTGAATGGCAACTGAGCATTAGACAAAAGATGATTTATTATTCATGTGTGTGTTAGACAGCGTGAGGATTCACACAGTCGTGTAAGGATGGATAGCGAAGTCGAGACAGAGTCCTGTTTCAAATAAGCCAATAAATCCAGAAACTCTGCTGTAATAAATACATGCGCAACACATTTCAAAGGTCTATTTCAAATCTGGAGACACTGACCTGAAGGGAAAAAAAAATCAATAAGTGAAATGCTTTACCTTTAATATAAAATGAAATGTCTTCCATCATAAGTGATGCATATTCTACTGTGTTCTTCTCCAGGGTCAGATCACTCTTATGGATGCTCCGGTGTTCAAAGCCATTCAACCTGAGGTAAGTCTTTTGTGTCACTGATGTACACGGGGTCCATAACCTACACTTTGCTACTCCTGCCATTGGCGGATGAATTAGGGAAATTTACTAGACAATTTGACTTAAAAATTGTCAGCTGCAAAGATGAAGTTGACTATGCTGCCGTCCCGTAGTATAGTGGACCTGCCTTTAGAAAGAAATGCATCTCTTTCATACGGATTACATAAGCAGAGTATTTGTTTTCGATATATTTCTCATGTGTGTGAGGCAAGTGTACACTGAGTTTTGGGTTTTGTGACATGCTCCAGTTCAAGGAGACTGAGACGGCAGAAAGCGCTTCATGTTTGTTGTCTCTATTTTACAGAAGCACAACGTTTTGTGAGTTTACACAAATAACAGTTTCAAATGATGTATTACTCTTATCTGTATGACCAAAAATGACGGAGTGTTTTAAGTTGTTTTCGCTGTTAAAGGGATACTTCACCTGTGGAAAGATGAATGTGTATTTAAAATGGCTCATTTATGTAGAAGAAATGTGAAATTAGGTGTTCAAGCACGAAGTGCTGAAAACCTATTGTATTTGTACTGATTTTTATTAGGTGTTCAAGCACGAAGTGCTGAAAACCTATTGTATTTGTACTGATTTTTATTATTAGGTGTTCAAGCACGAAGTGCTGAAAACCTATTGTAATTGTCCTGATTTTTAGGTGTTCAAGCACGAAGTGCTGAAAACCTATTGTATTTGTACTGATTTTTATTATTATTATTATTATTATTCTGCCGTAAAACGCGTCGTGCAGCCCAAACCGTAAGTGCTGGAGCTCTGAAACTTTGTCAGATGGTAGTACAAAAATCGAGGAGAGGTTATCAAATTATGAGCCCGATTGGCCCATAGGTGGCGCTATAGCAACCAATTGCGCAAAACGGATCATAACTCTTAGACCGTAAGTCGTAGACTCAAGTGTCTTATATCATTGGAAAGCTGGTCACCTGACGAAAAAAACGTATATCTCCGATTTCATTTCCGCCATGATGGATTTTCCGCCATTTTGAATTTTGTCAAAAAACTACTTTTGCGAACTAGTCCCTGTTTTTTTGCCCGATCGGAACCAAACCAGTGCAGAAATATTCTCTGGAGTCTGAATATTAATAATTATTGAAAAAAAGTAGAATTTTCGATTTAGGGTCGCTAGTAGGCGCAAAATGAAGGTTGTGGGAGGAGCCTATTTTACTAAAACGGCTATAACTCCAGAAGTAAATTAGATAGGTTGACCAAACTTGACACACATGTGTATAAGGACAGTCTGGGGTCACAGTAAAAAAATCGCGACGATCGAACACTAGGTGGTGCTATAACATTAAAAAAACATAAAAAGGGGTGTGGCCACCTGACCGTTAGTCCGATTGACTTGAAAATTGGTATGCAGTGGCTTGGTCCAAGGCCCCATGTATGTGTATGAGGAAATTGGCATAACTCAAAAAACATGGCCGCCATTGGCCAATGAATTTGAGCACCTATTAGACGAGGTTAACGAAGGCCAATCGTAACGAAACTCGATGGGCATGTTCGACTCATGGCCCAAGAGGTCTGTAAGAGTTTTGAAAGAAATCGGCCACTAGTTGGCGCTAACGAGTTTTACGGCTCTGTAATCACGTGGTGTTGCACACATCCCCACAAAATGCATATCATCTGATAGATCTCCTCATGCTGAACAACTTTGCCTCTAGAACCATTGCTGTCAATCAAACCGTTCATTAAATATTCACGAATATGTTAAAAACCTACTTTTGCAAACTAGTCCCTGGTTTTTCGCCCGATTGGAACCAGACCAGTCTAGGACAATTCTCTGGACTCTCTAGATCAATAATTATTGAAAAAAAGTTGAAATTTGCCATTTGGTTCATTATAACAGGATCATTTATAAAAAGGGGCGTGTCAAAACACACTCAAAAGCCTATAAATCATAAATAAAAACTCAGAACTTCACAAAAATTGATGAGCATATGTGTCATACCATGGTGAAGAAGCATGCAAAGTTTCATGGAGATCGGACAATAGGTGGCGCTATAACTGTTGAAAAGCTTTAAAACCATACATTTCCTATGGTAAATTGCCTGTATTGGCTGTAAATGGTCTTTTCCATCTATGATCGTATAATTTTCATATCTTAATGTTTAAAACCAGTGCAGTACAATTATCTGGACTCTCTAGATCAATAATTATCAGAAAAGGTATAATTACTTCATTTGGATGGCTATAATAGAGTGTAAATCGGATGGCTATAACAGCTATAACAGCTTGGATGGCTATAACAGCCAAAAAGTGGTATTTTACTGCCCCCTGCTGTCATTTCATCATACTACTCTCTAATATTTTTATATATAATTGATATTTAGACTTTATTAAATCATTATTTTAACATTTACAATCACATTTTGTCAAAATTCATCTATTGCTCTGTACTCTCTAGAACAATAATTATAGGAAAATGTATAACTTCTTCATTTGGATGACTATAATAGGGTCACTTCAATATGTAGCCTTGAGCGAAAGCCAATATCTTTTCAATAAATGCTCATAGCTTCTTAAAAAAAGGTCAAGAACAGCTATAACAGCTTGAAAAAGGCTAACAGCCAATAAGTGGTATTTTACTGCCCCCTGCTGTTTAAAAAAAGTCATTTTGTCACACTACTCAACTATAATTAATATTTAGACTTTATAAATTCACTATTTTAACATTTACAATAACATTTAGTCAAAAATCATCTATTGAAGTGACAATTGAGTCACATTGGATCCTGAAGTTCCAAATGTCTCTATCTACATCAGAATGAGCGTGTAGATTAAATTATATGAAAAACATGGCCTATTGTATAAGTAGGCTGTAATAGCACTGTTGTCCACTAGATGGAGCAGCAGCATTAGACATTTTTAATCTTTTTTTATCAGCTTTCAGCATTGGCTAACAAACAAATGCTTAAAGCATTTTCTTTAATTAGTTTTATATTATTACATTGCAAAGAAATATGTGAAATGCTCATATACCATTAAAACTGATTTTCACAATAACATATCCCAAAAATGTGTGTGTGTGTGTGTGTGTGTGTGTGTGTAAGCATGCATTATGGAGTTAACATGAAAAAAATGGTTTGCTTCAGTGGAGAATACTGGAGAAACAAAGTAGTTGAAAATGAAAGTGAGCCAATAAGTGGTCTTCTACTGCCCTCTGCTGGCCATTCTTCTTATTAATAGTCTTTTTTTGTATATAGACACTATAAAATCACTTATATAACAATTACTATTATAACACATTCATATTTTGTCAGAGTTTATCACTTCAATTGTTCTTATGCTTCATATAATTGCTATCAACGTGGTAAATCATGGTAAATAATGCCAGAAACATGGTAAATCATAGTAAAAAAGGTAAATCATGCTAGAATCCTGGTAAATTATTCTAGAATGTGCTATATCATGGTAAATCATCATATAACATGGTATATCAAGGTAAACTATGGAAAATCATGTTAGATTCATGGTAAATCATACTGGAACATGGTAAATCATGAAAAATCACACTGAAATGTAGTATATCATGGTAAATCATGCTTGCTACATAAAACTTAATGTCTTTTGATGCTTTTGTGCTTAACGGCCTTAAAGGCCTTAACTGCTTGAACACCGCTAAATGCTGCTAGCAGCTTTAATTATTATTATTTTTCTTCTGCCGTAAAACGCATCGTGCAGCCCAAACTGTAAGGGCTAGAGACTTGAAACTTTGGCAGATGGTAGTACAAAAATCGAGGAGAGGTTCAGAGAGTATGACCCCGATTGGCCAATAGGGGGCGCTACAGCAATCAATTGCGCGTAACTGCTCATAACTCCTAAATCGTAAGGCGTAGACTCAAGTGTCTTATATCAATGGAAAGCTGGACTCTTGACTTAAAAAACGTATATCTCCGATTTCATTTCCGCCATGATGGATTTTCCGCCATTTTGAATTTTGTCAAAAAACTACTTTTGCGAACTAGTCCCTGGTTTTTTGCCCGATCGGAACCAAACCAGTGCAGAAATGTTCTCTAGAGTCTGAATATCAATAATTATCAAAAAAAAAATGAAATTTCGATTTCTGGTTGCTAGGGGGCGCAAAATGATCGTTGTGGGAGGAGCCTATTTTACTAAAATGGCTATAACTCGAGAAGTAAATGAGATATCTTCACCAAACTTGACACACATGTGTATGAGGACAGTTTGGGGTCACAGTAAAAAAACCGCGTCGATCTAACACTAGGTGGCGCTATAAAATTAAAAAAACATAAAAGGGGGTGTGGCCACCTGACCGTTAGTCCGATTGACTTGAAAATTGGTATGCAGTGTCTTGGTCCAAGGTGCCATGTATGTGTAAAAGGACATTGGCGTATCTCAAAAAACATGGCCGCCATCGACCAATGAAGTTTGAGCCCCTATGAGACGAGGTTAACGGAGGCCAATCGGAACGAAACTCGATGGGCATGTTCGACTCATGGCCCAAGAGGTCTGTAAGAGTTTTGAAAGAAATCGGCCACTAGTTGGCGCTAACGAGTTTTACGGCTCTGTAATCACGTGGTGTTGCACATATCCCCCCAAAATGCATATCATTTGATAGATCTCCTCATGGTGAACAACTTTGCCTCTAGAACCATTGCTGTCAATCAAATCGTTCATTAAATATTCACGAATATGTTAAAAACCTACTTTTGCGAACTAGTCCCTGGTTTTTCGCCCGATCAAAACCAGACCAGTCTAGGACAATTCTCTGGACTCTCTAGATCAATAATTATCAAAAAAAGTTGAACTTTGCCCTTTGGTTCACTGTAACAGGGTCATTTAGAAAAGGGGGCGTGTCAAAATACACTCAAAAGCCTATAAATCATAAATAAAAACTCAGAACTTCACAAAAATTGATGAGCACATGTGTCATAACATGGTGAAGAAGCATGCAGAGTTTCATGGAAATCGGACCATAGGTGGCGCTATAACT